CAGGGGCTCCTCCCGCCGCGGCCGCGGCCATCCTCTGACTGAGCCCGCGGGCCGCCCACCGCCGCCACCGCCCGCGCGCACGCGCCCGCGCTCGCCGCCCATTGGCCACGACGCACCCTCATGCAAATGATCGCTGTCGCACCCGCCCATTGGTCAGCGCGGAGCCCGGGGCGGCTCCCCTGGGTCTTAGAGGGGGTCCTATCGTCCAGAGGGCCCGGGCACCGCGGTCCGCTCGCCTGCGCTCTCGCGGGGTCTGCCCCGGGGTGGAGCAGTGGCGGCGGCCTGGCGGCCGCGGCGACGGGGCTGCAATTCCAGTCCCCGCCTCGGAAGCTGGGCTCTTGCTGGGCTGCGGCGTTTGTGGTCAGTCTCCGTCGAGCCTGCGCCTTTAGGCTCCAGTGCACTTCCTCTTGGGTGTGTGCCGGTGCAGGGGCTGAAGCTGTGCCCTCTGCCGTGTGGGAGGCCCCTCAGTTTGCAAACTGCCATCTCTGTCACTTCTGGGAGCCCCAAAGCTCCCCGAATGGCCGGTGGTGCCACCTGGCCTCCCTGGTTGGCTGAAGAAGAGACAGAGGGTCTGAGTGGAGAAGGGTGTGGGGTGACAGGCAGGCTGGGACAGGCCTGCACTTCCCTCAGCAGCAAAGGGCCTAGGCTTCAGTGTTCTGCACCCGGGTTCCCCTGACTTCAGAGCCCAGGGCTTCCTGCCCAGGTGCTGCCTTCTGGAGCCCCAGCTTTCCCCCTGCGGGCTCACTTATCCATGCAGTGGGGAGTGTGACTCAACTCCAGGTATTGTCAGGATGAAGCTGGCCCCGATGTCACCAGCGCTGGGCTGCCATGTGCTGGAAGCTGGGCATTTGCTGTTTGGTTATACAGCCCAGTGAATGATGTGGGTGTGCTGCCCATTGCCTCTGCAGCTCCTGTCTCAAGAGGAGGCGGGCATCGACCTGCACCAGGGAAACGGTTGGCAAGTTTCTGGTTTTGAGGGACATGAAGAGTCATCACCATCATCAATCAGGGCCTGCTGCATGGCCTGCTCCCCTTCAGGCCCCTTACCCACCTTTCACCTTGGCGTATCCCTCCTAGTGACCTCATTTGCCAGCACAGGCAGGCCCACCCACTGCCCAGCCTGTCCTTTCCTTTCCCTCTGCCCTTCCAAAGTGCCCAAGAGGCTTCACCACCCAGGCCTGCAAGTCGGATGGGAATGGAGGTTTTTTTGTTGGTTTGTATTTTTTTTGTTTTTGTTAATCCTCACCAGAGGATATTTTTTCCATTGATTTTTAGAGAGTGGAAGGGAGGGGGAGACAGAGAGAGAGAGAGAGAGAGAGAGAGAGAGAGAGAGAGAGAGAGAGAGAGAA